CCTCCTCGCCCCTCCCGCCTCCCCCTGCCGCCGTCCGTCCCTGCAGCTCTGCTCAGCGGCTCCACCGCCGCGGCTCCGACACCTGAAGGAACCGGAGCGGGTGCGGGAGCCCGGGCAGGCGGCGGGCGGCAGAGCGGGGCGGTCAGTCCGGGGGCGACCTCCGCATGGCCCCGCCGTGAGAGGCCGGACCCAGCGACTGGGACCCAAGCGGTGAGTGGGGCTGCGGGCCACCTGGTCCCCAGGGCCCGCGTGCTGCGGATCCGCCCCTCCCGGAGCCCGGCCGGCCCGGTGGGTGCGTTGGGCTAGGGGCGCGTGCTGGGTGGCGGGCGCCGCCCTCCGCCCTCCAGGGTCTGCTAACAAAGCTACAATTCGAGATCAATTCTGTGGCGGCTGGGAGCATCCCAAGGATGCGGTTGTCATGGAGATGGGGCAGAAAGAGGGAGCCCGGGATGGCCCGGTCTGGGCCAGGAAGTGGGGGCGCCTCCAGAGCCTCAGCTGGCCCTGCAGGGAGGGCCAGGGTCTGCGGTCCCTCTGTGCCCCCAATCGGCCCAGGGGCTTCCCGATCCTCCCTTTTGTATAACCTGGTTGCATCTGTGTCTGGATGGGGTGCCAGCGGCAGCTTGTTGGTACGGGACCCCGGGGTGTCGGGTGCCTGGGCCTGCTGAAGACCACCTTCCCGGAGAAACAGCTTTGAGGATTTATTTCTCTTTCCAGTTTCCCAACTTTGACAGCCAGCCTTGGCGGCCAGGCCTCCCCGGCTCTGCCGGCAGCTCGGGGCTAGCGTGGGGGCGTGGCAGGGAGCAGGCGAGGCCCGGAGGCTCCGAATGGCCAGGCATCAGCGGGGAAGGAGGTGTACTTGGATCAGGGGGCTGGGGCTGGGGCGGGGCAGGGACCCCTCTGGACGACCGGACCCTTAGTAGGAGCCAATGCTGTTTTTGTAGGGTCTGGGGCACTCGAAGCAGAGCTGGGGCATTGTCTCCGCATAGGCCCAGGGGACACTGCCCCACGCCCACCTCTTTGTCTTGGGGCCACCTTGGGGTTCTGGGGGAGAATTGGGGACCCAAGCGCTGACCACAATGGAAGAGGCTTGGAGACCCTTGGCACGCTTTGGAGAAGGTAGATCTGAGCCTGAGAAGTGGGAGGAGGGAGGCATGGGGAGGGCTCAGAGCAGTCCGCAAGGCTGGACTTGGGCTTTCCTGGGTTCTGCAGGAGCCTTGGGGACTAGAGCTGCTGAAAGGGGGTAGGGCACACACTCAGGCAACCCGAGGGACAGTAGGTAAATGAGACAGGGGTCTCACCAAGCCCACCCCGGGCCCTAGGTTGCAATGCAATGGTCACTCCCCCTCCCTGCCTTCTCCTAGAGCTTAAGAACCTGCCTCCCCGGGGAAGCTTCAAGGACTGGCAACTGGGATTCTGGAACTTTTAGTAAAAAGGGGCCAGCTGCCATCTTCCCTCCTCCTGACACCTCTAGAGGAGAGATCTGTGCTCCCCCCACCCCCCCTGACGGGAGGCAGTGACTTTTTGTCTTGGTGGAAACACAGCAGCCCAGGGGGTTTGCCTGAATCCCCAGAGGGATCCCACACTGTGGGGTGAGTGAGTGGGTGGTAGGCCATCTAAAGGCAGAGACACATGCTTTGGTGATGGGGGGCTTTGAAGGCCTCCCCCACCTCCCATAATGCTTCCTGCAGGGGCTGAACACTCAGTGCTTGGCGATTAACACCATGCAGCCCCAGGGTGGTCTGATCTGACAGCCATGATGAGGTGTGCACTCCCTGGAGCCGACCTAACCCCCCAGAACTGACCGAGAAAGAGGCGAAGGGATGTGGCCTCCCCAGCTTCTACACACCAGCCTTGGCAGGGAGGCACTGCCATCGTTCCCGTTTTGTGGAGGAGAATGCGGAGCC